GAAGGATGTTGTGCACTGAGGATATTTCTAGTGTGCCAAGTTCAAACTAGCTTCTCCCCACGCTGCAGAGGAAGTGTGGGCTTGTGGTTAGGGCAAGCAGCCCGCCATCAGCTCCCAGGTCTGCCAAGGACTTCCTGAGCAAAGCCCCAGCTCCACAACTGTCCCTGCTTCACTCAGCTGCTGAGAGCCTAACACACTGCTGCAGATGCCGTCCCGGATGGGGGTCACACTGTCACTGCATATACATGTCCGTAAAAAGGTGCTAACGTCCAAAGGTATTTCAAAGAAATGTTAAGCTCAGTCAAGGAGAGAAATGTATTCTGTATTCCCTCCATATGCAACAAGAACATAAAAGTATCAGCACAACAGATATGCCCCAGCTGTAGAGATTCACATCATAAAGGCACAGCAGTAAGAAGTGCCCTATATGCATACACTATGTACACCACGCATCTTCACCACCAGCTGTTTTTTCTAGCTGGTGTTCATCATCACTGGAAGCTAATTAATTTAAGGGCACAGAAAATACCTACGATAAGCTAAAAGGGGAAGAGAAGGCATCCCATCATATCAAATGAATACAAGGGAATAGAAGTGGGGAAGGAAAGAAAGGGAAGGACAAAATAAGGAGTTTCTAGAGCTAACCCTGCCCCAGAGTGACGCTGCTATCCCTCTCACAGTACCTCTAGTTTCTTTTTGGAGCATGGGCAGGGGGCCATGGTGCTCAGACCCATCATGGGCTTCTACTGTGGGGCTAACACCACCTTGGCCAGAAAACAGGCTCCCAAGATAGTCCTGGCAATGAGGCAGGGATCTCAACATGAAAAAGTCAGAGGAAAGGAACTGTCACAGTGATTTCCATCCATAGCCCTGGATTTCTCTTAACCTGAAGGGCCTTAACCAAAGGGCGTTTCTGCCCCCAGCCTCAGCTCCCCAGTCAAGTTTATTTTTGTTTGTTCATTTTTAAACAGGGCAAAGATACGAACCGGAGCCTGAGCTTTGCAAGCTTAATGTTTTTTCAAATGTTGCTCCATGAGGTCTCTCTCTGCTTTACTGTGGTGCAACTGGAACAAATTCCAGTCCCTTGAGGAAGAATTTCAGTTTCAAGGGTTTACATTTTGTTTTCACTGGACTGGTGAAGGTCAAATCCTTCCATTTGCCCTGCCCGGGGTAGATCCCCAGCAGCACGTGCCCCCTTCCCCACACTGCCCCAGCCTGATTAAGGAGAGTCTCTTGCCCTGGGAGAACTGTGGGAAGTTCAGTGTTCATACAAACTTTGCTCTCCCTCAGACTGTCAACAAGGGCTCCAGCCAGCTATGCCCACTATTTATTTTGATAGTGGCTGTTTATTATGAACAGAACCATATTCCTAAACTCATTTTGCACAGACTAAGAAAAAAAAGGTCTGCTGAGCACAGCACAGCCTCTGTTAGGACTCTCACTAGCAGAGGTCAGAGGGGCAATGCTGCTGCACAGCATTACAGAAGCACTGGCACATGGTCACAGGGGAAATGGTTTTCCTGAAGTCGTACTGCAGAGCAGTTGCAGAACTGGATGCAGAAGCCAGCTTTCAGGACCAACAGTCCAAACCTGCAGCAACCCAAAATCAAAGCCTCTGCCCAGCTCTGGGGACACACCAAACCCCTCTGAAATGGCACACCAGAAACCCATCTCCTTGTGATTCATATATAACCAGGAGAACTTGAAGCACAGATTGGAAACCAAATCCTCGTGTTCCGGCCACACTCAAAAACATTCCCAATGTGATAATACAGGTCTCAGGTTTAGCCATTCAAAGGACAAGGGGCACTAGCAGGCAGCATCAATAGAATGACAGCTTCGGAGGCTGTGCTTGGAGTGCACTGAGCCCTTCAGCTCCTGCTGCCTTCAAAAATACAAAGGGATGCACAGCACTTCACAAAGATGACTAAAAACATCTAGATAGAAGTTGCAAGGAATAAAATACATATTAAGGTAAATAAGTGATGCATAAGTCAATGTCTAAAATTAATGACTTGAGATCTTTATGAAGGTGAATTTCCTTAAAGAAGTCCTACCATACTACCTTGGTACCTCCATGAGGCCCTGTTCCTTGCATTTATGTTAACTTGTGAGGTCTGTGATTTGTTACCTCAGTTTTTAGCAGCTGCCCTTCCCTTCAGTTGCTGAACTGAGACTCTGCCACGACTTAAGAACAAAGATGGCTACTTGTTAAATTAGAGGTCAATTAACTCCACCAGTAGATGATGCCACTTCCAATAACTGCTCTCAGTGGGTATCACTCTTCCTGTACGAACACAGAAGACAAAATGAGGCCTCCATTGGCTCTGTCTGCTCTCTCGGGTACATGACATACAGCCCTGTGTATAAAATGTCAAAACAGCCCTGTCGGAGATTCACTGGCTGCTAAAACTGTGAAGATCTCACAGCACCGTGGATTGCTGTTGACAGAACAGCAGCGCCCAACATAACACATGCCTTGTTAGCAAACTGGAAGCCTCTCAGTAGTCTGGGGTGAGGGAATAATAGAGGAAGCCAACGCAACGCAAGCCAGGCCTGTGGAGAACAGCAAGTGAACGAACTTTGGCGGAGTCCAAGCAAATCCTCAGACTAGCTCTTTTTTCCCCTTCTTTCAAACTCTCTCTTCGGCAAACATGGGCAGTTTTCAATGAGCGCTTCCCACCATGTAACTCAGCTGCTGAAACCAGCAGCATCTTCACCAGAAGTGCCCACAACTGGCACAACTGGCCTGCACAAAGCACTGGGAAAGCCTCACCACTCATTTTTTAGACAAGCTAAGGATGATGTGCCAACCACCCTACCATGCCAGAGGCTCTCCCCTACACAAACAGCTGTGTCCTTGCTTTTGGCACTCCTCCTGGCTACAGAGCACCCCAGCCAGTGGTGGGACACCACAGGCACACCAAGCCAGGCCGGGGGGCAGGCACGCAGGTGGGCTTTGGGGCAGGGAGAGGCCCCGTGCTGCTATGGTTCTTGGCTACGGCTTCTCTGTCCCTGCCTTCCAGTGCCCCCATAAACCACTTTCATGCTCCAGCAGAGCGCTATGACATCTCAGCATGGCGAATGCCGGGTCATCCCAGGGAGCCAGTATTGCTTTGGCAGGGCTGTGAAACAAAAGAAACATCAGCCTCAGAAACGCTGCTTTATTGCTGCTGCTGAAGAAACAAAACCTTTATGTGCAGTAACTTTGCTCTAAACAGTAACATTTGTGGATCTTGTTCTTAACCTTTTGCATCTGGCTTTCAAAATCTGCCCTGTTCTTTTTCCACGTGAAAGAGGAGGGAGCTTATTTTTGTTTTGGTGCTGGTGTGCAATGCTGCCAGAGAAGCGCACTCAAGCTGGCACAGACCGAAGCTGGTGAGCCACCCAAATTATTGTTGGGTGGTTCAGTCCCTCTCTATTTCAAGAAGCCTCTGGGTATAATGACAGGAAGCTTGCAGGCAATTTTAAGCCAAACCTCAGAGAGGCTGGCTTTCAGTCTGTGTTAAACACTCCTCATTAAAAGCTGTCCAGTCCGGATTCTGGGTGGAACTTTGATATCTGCGTGGAGTAAAGAATAAGGGGCACGTTTGCAAAATCAATTGTGCAGTTTTTATATTTACTGCACGTTTACCACATATGTCATTTATTACACAGTGGAAAACCGTTAAATGCACAGTAGTTGTGCCAAGTGGCATTATGCTTTTAACAGCTTTATTCGTTTAACAGCTCCAGTTCTCATTATATTTTGCCATGTGGTACATGAGATTTTTATGCATTTAACAGTTTAAGAGGGTTCCATGGTATTTTCCTTTTATGTATTTCATACTATGCCTGGGATTTTGTTGGGGGGTAGAGGGGTTGCGGACTGTAACCTCTGTACCCTGACAAGAGAAAGCAAAAGGCAGAGAAAATTAATGATTAAATGAGGAAGAATGAATCACGCCTCCGTGTGTCAGGGCACAAATACCTGTAACAAGGACAAGGCTCTCCCATGTGCTTTGATAGCCTGTGATGCTTTATTTACACGCCTTTCAACCTCTTATTTTACATCTACTTTAATGACTACAATGTTGTTTCCCTGCACAGAAGAAAGTATGTATTTTGCAGAATGCACACATCTAGATACTTCTATCCCACTCTCTCATTGCCAGTGACACATTTGTGCATTTTTGGGTGCATACTGATGCCCTCTCCTAGCACGACCGAGTAATTTCATCCAGGATCAGAAGCAGTCCTTTTCACTGAGTAAACAATTCCTTCTAACAGTCTCCAATCCACTTGCTGCTCTTCCTACAAAAGTTCTGCCTGTCCTCCTTTCCACAAAATCCCTTCTGGTACATTATATTTTTTTAAAGAGTTGGATGAAATTTTTAAATGAATGGATTCTCTTCAAGAATTTCACCCCGACCTAGGTTTGCCCGCATGTATTTTTTACACCCAAGGTGGAAATTAATCCAGGAGAACTCACTGCATTGCCCTCTCATGCCTTTTTGTAAAAATGATTAGATCTGATGTGAATTATTCACATGGCAATACCGTATGCAGCACATATAACATGCAAAAAAAGGAAACACCTGGCTAATGTGCGGTTTCCCATTGCCTTCCCTCAGTTAATCACTTAAGAAAACAATTTCTTTACCTCCCAAACGAGAAGGATACCGTAATTTTGAAAGGACCTTGTCCTGCTAGCATAGGTGTAAGTTTATATACCACACGCAGGAAAAGACATGTACGTTTGTACAAAAGGGGAGAAGAAGCTCGGCTGTGACCTGATCTTTTCCTCAGCCTATTTTAAAAGGAAAAAGGAAACCATTTAAGCAGGCAAAAGCCAAAAACACGACAGGTTCCCCAGAGATGAAGATTATTATTATTATTGTAGGAACAGATGTATTTTTATTGGTGGGAGGAGGAGACGGGTCTAGTTCCAAGCCCAGAGTTTGCTTTAAAAACAAAACTCCCAAAAGCCCCGCCACAACGAAATCCCCCCTACCACTCACCTGACTTTTATTGGCAGCCACTTTGGCAAACAGAGCTTGAGATACCTTGGCCCTTTTCATCTCCTGTTGGATCTCGTCATAAATGGCAGCTGTGATGTTGACGTTGGCGCCGTCCGCCTTAATGGGGAGGTCTGTTGTTGGTGTCGAGGTTTTGGCCTACCAAGAGACCATGAAAATAATAATTAAAAAAGTGCTGCTTTCAGCCCAGCCATCTGTGCAGAAATTATCAAAGGATTTCAGTCAGCTGATGCCAAACTGCATTAGCTACAGAGGGACACTTCCTGTCCATTATTCTAATCAGGTTAATTGTGATTGGAAATAATTGCAGTGCATTCCTATAGGACATGCAAGGCCCTGTCAACTCTCCCCCTCTCCCTCTCCCAGCATGTTTACTGAGCAGCTCAACAGCAGGATAGGTAGCCGGGGCACTCGGCTGCGGGCAGTTGCTGAAGTTGGCTTTGCCAGCTAGCTACTGCGGCAGAGGCACCAGCCTCTACCCTCTCCCCCCTCTCTAAAAGTGGCCTACACCTTGGAGGAAGAGCCAATTCTCCCAGAAAAAATGAGTAAATGGGTAGAGGTCTCTAAATAATAAATTATTGCTCAATTTAATGCACTCCCTCAAGTCTCCCTCATCCTTTATTAAAACTATACGTATGTCATTTGAGTATGTATGGTTTCCCAGCCTTATCATCATTATGCTAGCCAGACAGTCACCTAATTTCACCTAGGAAATCAGTGGAAATGAAAAAAAAAAATCATTTCATAAAGCTGGGCTTTGGCATGCCTTTGATGTGCTGCCCTCATTCTCCTAAACTCATATTGAGATTTTGTGTATTCTGCTGCACTCCTTTTAATTGAATGATTTCCCATCAGCTTCTGTGACAAATGAAGGACAATAACGGATGCTGCCAGTATTTTCCCTGGGCTGGACTACCCCTACAAGACTTCTATCAATACAGGTCAGCAGGCTGCTACAAGACTTTTATTTTAAAGACCCTCGGCCGTGGCAGACCCCAGAACACACTGGCAGGCGAGGGAGCGAGGGCGGCACGATGCTCGCTGAACGTTCCCAGCACCAGCGGCCCCTTGGAGAGGCAGATCTCGTTTGCTTTCCTGACCTCAAAGAGAAGAGATACCAGGGCTGATCGCTGTACCCCTTACACCTTTTAAGGGAAATATGTAGGTGTCTCTTTTCTCTTGAGATGTAAAGGTCTGGGGAAACAAAACAACCTAGGTGGCAAAGCTCACACTTCCCAACAGATCCAAAACCCCATAAACCCTGGTGACATTCAGATGTTTGGCCCAATTATAAACCTTTTCAGCTGGCTCTTGTTTTTGTGCCAGAGTTGAAGCCTGCTAGAGTACATCTAATGTTAATTTTTAACTAGGCAGACATGCCCACATGCCTATTTGTTAATGGGAAGGTTAACTAGGCAAAACCAAACCTTCTGAACTTCTCCTTCTGTTTTGCTGTCCTCCAAATCTTCCTGTCCCTAACATCTTTTTTGTACCAAAGGCCACATTACTAACAGAGCCAAATCCAATCAAGACAACAATCTAGATTAATCACTCTTCCCACCGCTTCCAGATAAAGCTTTAACCAACCTGTATCTTCTCCCTTCCCTACCCCCCAAGCCCAGCAGGCACTCCTCTCGGCTTGTTCCCTGCCTGTCGTAGGCAGGACCCATGTAAAAAGGGCCTAAGGTTTTCCTGCTCCTGCTCAGACGAGCCCCCCGCGTTCAGGCGGGGGCAGCTGGATGGCAGCTGGGGCAGAGCGCAGCCCACCACGCCGCCCGGGAGGCCGGTGCTACACCCACCCACAGGCCATGCACACATGGGGGGTACAGCCCGACGGGTGGACCGACAGGGACACCACACTCTGAAATTCAACGTTCACAGATAGGTGAGAGTTAGGGCAATTGTGGGAAACATAAGAAAACAACAAAGAGATCATGGGGAGGAAGAAGACTGTCCAAGTCTGTCAGGACTCATTTAATGGAGCTTAATTTTACCAAAGGCCCTGCAGTGCTTTGACGGGTATAAAAAAAGGCTTCCCAGTCACTGGAGCCTTGGGCTAGCGCAGCAGCCGAGGTCACCATGGCCTCAAAGGCCGTTACGGAGGCCTGAGATCCTGGGAAGAACAAAATTAGCATGTAAAAGAAAGATTTAAAATACAGCTCTGTCTTGCATAGGTCTCCTACACTGCTAGCTCCCCAGCTACATGTCAGAAAAAAACCCTGCCCTACACACTGAAAGTGGGGCCATTTTTTATTTAATCACCGAAATAGGTAGGGCAAGTACCAAAACAAAATATCACAGTCACTAAAATAGAGTATTTTATGTTAGAGATTCAAAACCGGTCTTGATATTAAGGAGGAGTTTGCCATTATTGAAATGTCCTGTTGCAAACAGTGGGGAGAAAAGAAAAAGAAGTGTTTGCAACCACAGTGCCAGAGTGCTGCAACCCAGCCATTACCGCGGTCTTCCACCTGCACGCAATAACCCCTAACAGCTCAACAGCTCCGAGCCTCTTCCCCACAGCACTCCCACCCGTCTGCCGGATCAATGTGCTGTTCTCACCTTGGGGCAGGTCTTGAGCCGGGGACACCCCGCGAGGCGGGGCAAGGGGCTGGCTTAGAGTTAGGGAGAGCCGAGCTGGGCTACTCTGCATGCCCTTACACCTGCCTGCGCAACTGCCCCAGGACCAGCGCTTCCAGCGCTATCTGCCAGTGCTCTCCTCCTATCCAGCGCACTCGAGCATCATTCCCGCAAGTACTGCCGCAGGAGATCGGTATCTATGGAAACCATGTTTCCAAATGCCATTCCGTCAACTTCTCCGGCACCCTAACACAATTCCTGAAAGGACGGTGCAGCTCCTACCGCTGCTGCCCCAAAGCACCTCGCTCCGGGGTAGGTAACATACCTGCCCGGGGAGGCGACGCTGCCGGGAATCGCTGCGCGGCAGGCGAGGATGGCATTTGTCTCATCAGAACTAACACCGGGCATATGGGGAAGCGCAGTAGCCGTGCTGCCTGCCCGGGAGCTGGGAAGCAGCCTCATTTGCAGAGGTGTCCAAGTTGTCAAAACAGCACCTGTGCTGACTGGTGCTGGCCCTCTGAGGGCTGGGGAAACGTTATCCACCGGGCACAAGGCAAGCACCGGGTACACAAACCTTTGTGTGTTGCTTTTGCCAATTAAAAACCTCACAATATTCTACTGGATTCTTCAAGCCGAAATAAGGGAAGGATGCTTTATACTTTTAGCAATGGTTTTCTAGCAACGCTTAGCTCTTAAAAAGGCAGGCAAAATTTCCATTATTTTGAAAGAAAATTGTAGCTGTGGCTAGAACATGGGAAAAATGTTGTATTTTGACAGAGTAATGAGATGGGGCAACAGATCCAATTTTTATTCTCACTGGATTGCATCTAACCTCTCCGTTTCCTCCTGTTATTTGATTTTAGTTGTGAAATCTATTGCAATAAATGTAAGTAGCAATAAGCTAATTCTTTCATGAACAAATATAAATGCAGAAAGTCCACACACTGCTTAAACATTAAAATAGTTCCCTTTATAATTTTATTTTCACTGAAAGGTAAATAAAAAAAGATAAGAGTTACACAATGAGCTTCCCATGTAATAAAAATAGAGCATCAAATCTGGGTTGGCAGGATATGCTTGCTTTCAGTGAAAACAGTTCTTAACGTCATGTATTGTGGTGAAGTGCATCCAAATGCTGGGGTTAAACTGAGCAAGCTCAACAGTATCTACATACCTTCGCTAAGGATGCTCACTTTGCATGTAAAACTACCCCCCCACCAATCCATACTTATTTTTAGCAGCTGTGGCCACAGAATTCAATATGAGAAGTGCTCGGTAATACTATTATAAGCATGGCTAACACAGCCCGAGACTTTGCAGACTACATGACTGGGAAAGCACCGGAGCAGGAGGGTTACACAGGCCCATTTACTAAAGATCAAGAGAATGATCTGTCATGTCTGCACGGTTAGAAATTTCAAACTCAAGTTAGGCAAATGTCATGACAGCAGTTAATCATCACCTCTGTGCAAGCACCCTTGATTTTTCAGAGTATACATCTGGGACTGCAAGCAGTCTGATGAAAGGGAGGGTGGCTATTATGGTGTAGTATGTGGATGTTCTTTTTTAGTGCAAAGGAACAACCTCCCCGGGGAAGTGGGTGGCAACAGCATGCTAATAAACACGTGCAGTTAAGGCAATGGGATGACAGCTGGTTTGGAGCTGTAAAGCATCATCTTCCTTCCCAGCACCCTGCCCATCTCTAGTTTCTGTACTTCAAATAATTACTCATGTAAACCTCTAACTCAAGGACCGTGATTTCCTATGCAGAACACAGAGCACACTGATTTCTAGCAATGTCTGTCTAATTCACTGTCAACCTCTGCTCACTACACACTTTTTATTGCAACTTACACGAACCTTTCCACAAGCCCAGAAATTTCCCCTGTGTTCTGCAGAATGTAATGGACACAGATAAAAAGTTACATGCACTGTCTTTCTATAATATATTCTATAATAGCTATCTAGTGGAGGTGTATCAACAGCTTGTATGTAAAGCCCGCATGCACTCTTTCAGGCACTAATGTTACATACTTTTTTGCATTTATGGCATTGATTAAAGCTAGAATCATCATCACAATGTCTTGCTGAAATTCACTACATGTCTCTTAATAGCCACTCCAAAACCTTACAAAAGGATCTCCACAACTCATCTGGGTGAGGGGAGCAACAGAGAGGGGAAGGGCAGAGAGGAACTCCTTCCCTGGACTAACCCACACAACCAACAGTAACGAGGGATAGCATCTTACCTGAGGGGTTCTGGAGGAGCTTGGGCTGCTGGCAGCTGAAGACACCATGCTCACGTTGGGGTTCATACTTCTCTCTCTCTCATCCTGATAGATACGATCCCGCTCCGAGTCAGGCAAGTTAAGGAAATTCTGCATCGCCCTTAAGTTTACCAGGAGGGACTGGGAAGCTGTCCTAGGGTCTTCTTCTTTACGCAGGATCTCTGACAACAAGCCCTGGTTCAAAAAATTAAAAAAAAAAAAAAAAAAAAAGCAAAGCCCAGTCATGTGTTGGTTGGCTTATGTTTTTTTAAAAATTTGTTTAGTGTAACCAGCTGGGTTGCAATACTGAGAACCTACAGCAGAATCTCATGGGCTCTCCCAGAGGGGATATTTTGTAGGAAAGTGTTTGTCTTCTGGGGGCTGGGGTTTATTTTGGGACTGTCCTATTCTGGCACTGTAATAAGTGTCTGAGTATGGAGATGCTGGATAGGAAGGTAGGTGCACTGGGTAGAAGAAATTGCAGTTACCACCAGGTGCCTGCTGCAAATATTTTAGGAGCTGTTAGATCTCTCTCTCTCTTTCTCTTTTTACTTGAAGCTGGGAACACTTGGCAATCCTGTTCATCTTTGACAAATCTGCCAAGGTTGGTAAATTTAGTTTCGACATTTAAACAGTGCAGGAAGTTTATAAAGAAAAACGTTTGGCTGGTTTTTGATGTTACAGTCCGTTCATTTTGGTTTGGACAGTCATTTCTGAGAGGAGAAAAATGGAGCAATAATAAAGCCTTAGAACCTAGCTTTAGGGATTTAACCCATTCTTTCATGCCTCATTTTAAAATACCACAGGCTTCACAATGCAACCGTGAATGAACACCATATCCATCTAGTTTTTACAAAAGCCATTATTCCAGGAGGTAACCAGCAGAGCACTTCCAAAAAAAAAAAAAAAGGAGCTGGAGAGATGAAAACGTCATTAAAAGAGGCTTAAATCTAATGATGAGATTAAATTTATGCACTCAACATTTCCACAGGTTATCTAGAAGTTAAAGGCACAACACACAAGCCTGGATCAGGGCCTACAGAAACCACCGGGACGTAGCATGTGCCACCAGCCTCCCCCAGGCACCCCCTCGCATCCGACACTTCACAAACGGGTATTTCACTCCAGAAAGCAGAAACAGCAATTTCCTGAACTACAGATGTTTAAATGTACCGGTGTGCAAAGAAGCAGAGAGGGATCATTTCTGCCCATCGAGACTACTTACAACATATCATAAGAAATGGCAGTCGGAGGTTTGTTATTTTAAAAGGCTACTCTGCGCTTGTTTCCCTGAGCAGTCCAGTTCCCGTCCCGCTTCCCTCCGGCCGCAACCCAGAGGCTCTCTGCAGCGCGGCTCCCAGGAACGCTGGCCACAGAAGCCGTATGAAATCCCAGCTGGAGCTTGGAGGGCTCACCTCAACCTATTGCTGTGAAAGGAGCAACGTCCAGCAACCGCGTGCAAAGGGACACTGCAGTGCCCCGGACACTATTTAGCTGTCGCTGTTGACACAGGCATTTTGCAGTTACTTTACAGCCATGACCGAGGCAAGGTGCCTCACGAGTATAGTCAAGGCTCACTCTTTCTTGTAAGAAAAATGTTACTAGAAAACAACCACGTAGTCAAAGACCCTGTGACATTTAATCTTTCTTAGTTTATATTCTTCCATATCAGAGAGTCTCCTGCAAAAACCCTTGCTAAAACACCACCACTACAGTTGGCCAGTTAACCAAGTGCCAACATTTTTGGTATATATTGATCTTATTTACCAGACTTACTCACAAAACCAATAGACCAGCAAATGACGTATCTGTATCTGCATTTATCTGCTATCTGCTATTAAATACCTACATTAAAACACATACATGAAAGCTCTACTTCAGCAGTGTTTATGCCAGAAGTGCTCAAAACAAGCTCCACAGACAACCTGAAGGTAGGCTGCATACAGCTCCAACTTTTCAGCTCCTCATCTACATAATCAAGCTAAGAGATTCCCAATTACATTTTCCTGCAATTATCAGAGTAGTTACCAGAAGGACTGGAGCTGGGAATGGAGCCATGGTGGGACCCTCCAGTCAGAAATGGGATCAGAGAGAAAGGCCAGCTGGTGAAAGAGGTCTACGCTGGGAAGAAGTCTGAAGGAGGTGCAGTGTTGGGCTGGCCCTAGGCTGGCCTCTGGTTTTCTCTGTGACCTCAACACAACTGCATGCTCATACTTGGCTTCTTCCTCAGGGTTCACCACCCCTCAAGAGAAGCTAGGGACATTCTGAAAAGCTTTCCAAAGTTTGCCAGGCTCACAGGCTGAGGGAGATTAACCAAAAAAGGAGATTACAGAAGCCTGAAGCCATGACTTGAACAATTCCAAGATCGATACAGCAAATCCCTATTATAATCTTCCCTTAAAGTCAGTGGAAAATTCTCCAAATGCAGTAAATAAACGAAATATCAGTTCCACAGATTTTCTAAATTCTTAATTTCCTGGGTCTTTTAAAGGACACATAACTTTTTTTTTTTTTTAAAAGTATCAACTTCAAAAATTAATGAGTTTAGGTTGAAAGAAAGGTACCTGAAAGCTACTGGAGCTGACTCTAAGACAACTTTTTCTCCCTCCCATCTTAGCCTAGCTAAATTTATGGTCCAATTTCAAAAATGGAGAGCAGAAACATGTGAAAGCATGCCAGCAATTACTTCTCAGTGCAGTCATTGACTCCCTGTGTAAATCAGAGACTCACAGGTACAAGTGGCTTGGTCGTGGCACTGAGAGGTATCTCACTGCCTGAGATACCACCTCCTGTGCTTGAAGGCTCTGATTCTCCCCCAGAAACAGCTTATCCAGCAGTTTTGAAGCCTAGCCTTTGAACCCTGCAGCTCTTGCTTCTACGAGGGTCTCTGCTCCAGTGTTTTGCACGGCCGCTCCATCACCAGGCTGCCCAGCCGCCGGCAGCCTCACCTCCTCCTGCAGGCACCCGCTCCAGCGAGGGGCCAAGCTCCTTCCCAGCGCCGCGACACCGGCAGCCCCACGCAGGGGCCGAGCCCTGCTCCCCCATGCCCCGCTCCACGCCCACAGGATGAAGACCTGGTTGCAAAGAGGGTTTCTCTGCTGCTCCTCCAAGTGCCTTGGCAGCTTAGGAACCGTGTAAACAGCAGGACACATAATAAGAAAACTGACTCAGAGGGAAAAATCTCATGTCTTCCTGCAACTGAAGATAAACAACGCTGGTAAACAGCAGCGGCTGGATAGCTGAGTGATAGGGTAGGACAATAAAATAAAGTATCTTGAGAGCAATAATGTTTACAATAATATAATTCTGAGCTACTGGAGTATACACAAACTAACCAGTGAGCAACATTATAAAAAATAAAGTGATATTAAATAATCTGTTCAGCCTTTTTGTCACCTGCAACAAATTAGGCTTTCAATATGCAAAACATCTTCCTTCCAGAAAAACAAATGATCATGATTTCATTTAATTGTAATTTAATGAGGCATAATGTATTTTTTAAAGTGATATACACCAGGTGTGTGGCGAGGAAACTGGCCCAGCCAGACAAACCCCACTGTTTCTATTTTTGAGAAAATCCTAAAGCCAGCCAGGGACTGTTTTCATTTCTGCAAATTATGTTTCTGCTGGAGGGGGTGAGGGAGGGAAACCCACAGCATTCGTACATTTGTTATAAAATTCCATTGGCTAAATTAGCTCGTTCCAACTTACTTACATCTCACGTATTAAAAAAAAAAATTTAAAAATTGGCAGTTTGCAGGGTAACCGACTCTGCAATCCTAAAAGATCCTCAAGAACTAGAAAGTCTCAAACTGATTTTGAATAGACAAACAAATCTTCTATAATGAACACAGCTCTCAGGATACATTTTGGGATATGCAGCTTGATAATATCATTGCTTTTCCACTCCTGTGCATCATTTTTAAGACAGTTGCTGAAGAGGTAACTGATGAAAAGTTTAACGTTCACACAGGCCGTGCCCATGAACGAGGCTGCGCTCACTCCGAGACAAGGGCTCCGTGCAGGCACAGTTTGGTTTACACTTGGAACTTGCACCATTTTTTAAATTACACACTGGATCCATAATTGACTTAAAAATAATAACCAGAGGTGGAAAAAGGAGCAAATACCCAACCAAAATAAAAAAGTCATTGGAGCTATTTAAGGTAGGAGTAATTTCGACAGTGTTTTTTCAAACTAGATGAAATCTAGTCCTTCAAAACGAAGCCAGCAAAGTTACTGTCTTCGGGGTTTCCTTTGCGCTCATTCTATGAAAACCCATTTGTGAAGTAATTTCTTTTATTTTTATTAACTACAGAATTTCCAGGACAAACAACCCACACCTCATGGGCAAGAAATCTTTCTTTAAGCAACTTCTGAAAGACGAGGCAGTGCAATGTAGAGCAAATGTTATTCAGACAGACTCCTACATCCAAAGGACCAACTGACCAGCCATCGAGGCCAACCCAAAGGTTTGACCAAAGCCCACAGAAGGCAAGCGAAGCCTTTCTGCCTTCTTCCCAAAGGGCGTTGTCTCAGGCCTGGAAAGGGTGTAAACAAGATCTCAGTGGGACAGCAGACTGCACTACCAGTGGCCAAACACAGGACAGTTTTGCAACCAGAGCTTTTCAAAAGCAATCTGGATGGGGGTGAGGAGGTCATGCTGGAGTGCAGCCCAGACACCCATGTCCTGGGGACAAAGGAGGATGAGGGCTGTCAGGCAGCAGAAGACTCGCTAACACTGGCCAGGACCTCACACACGTCAGGTCCAATGATTCTGATGGGAGCTCTGCTCCCCCTCGTACAGACCCAAGCAATGTGTCTACAACAGCAGGCACTAAGGTTAAAAAGGTTCAAAACAGGTTGGACAACCTAAATGTTGGCCAAGGCAAAAACTTAAATAAACTCAACTAATGTGCTAAACCTCAGTTTTTTAAGTTCTGTATAAGGAGATTATATATATGAAGGACTAAAAAAGCATAAACACTTTTTTCATACTTTCGGTTTATTTGTGCCTCTCCATACTTCAGCTATTGCCAAAAGCAACACAGAAAATGCTGAAATACTAGAAAAATATTGCTCCTGTAGTACTTAAAGCTCCAAGTACTTTAAGCTCAGTACTTGTAACTGACAGTCTAAATAGAAAAGCTATTCTGCTTCACACCACGTATAGATGCGACTCTGACCAGGATCAG